AATACCGACATGCTTCAATTTATTCTTTCGAATTGTCTTCTGAACACACGTCTTTGACATACAATGTCTCCTAAAACACGTTATGCCTAGAGCTGAACGCTAATAGAAAATATTTCGCTATATATAATCATCTAACGTTGAACCCTGTATAAATTGGAGCCCAGGCGAAAAATGTAAGATTTATTATCGTTAATTTCAATCAATTGAAATAAATAGTGACACGTTTTTGCGTAAAGCTTAAATTTTTGCATATTGTGCCTCGAGACTTTGTGTTCTAGACTGAACATATAATCCTTTATTGGAATGTAGGAAAGAACGATGTATTAGGTTGCTGCTGCTGATTCTGTGGTAGAGATTGCACCGGTGACATATATCCCATTCCTGCTGCTATAGGCATACACAATTTTATTCTTACTCATTCATACTCTAGTTAAGAATGAGACGGTGTTCAGACTATAATAGTTAATTTAAAAATTATTTAAGATTAACAAGGACAATTGCGTTTTATCGAACGTAACGCTATCTCAGTTTATCAATCAGAAAACAATTTTATCAATACAGTACTTAATAGAAAAGCAACTCTATAACAATCTGCACACAGGCCGTTAAGGAATTACTTACGTCCTATTTTGATCTGATGTTGTGGGCTATTGCTAGCCAATTGGTTCATCGTCGGTGCTGGGTCAGTTTGTTTTGTTTTACTACCCATTATATTATCGAGGTCGATATTCAATCCCGAACCAGCCCAAGTCGAACCGACTTGCGTAGAAGACGTCGTATTACTAGATGTTTGATTTCTAGTATTGATGGTTATAGGTGGAAGAAGATTCGTGACGGGCGACAATCCGACTGATCCTAAATATGACACTAATTTTAATTCATAGCATGCATTGTAGTTATTATCTCATCTGTATAAGAATTTACGAGTACAAATTTTTTTATGTTCCAGCATATATACATATATACAGCATATATACAGCTTAAAAACAGTTTAATATTATTAAAATTTACAGTAGAAAATAGATTTACTTTATTTGATGCTATATATTGATAAAGCATTTAAATTAATTAAACATTGTGCTACAAAGCGATTTTTTATATAATAAAAGTCATATATGTGTTAAACATTTTACTTATTTCACTTTATGGAAAATGAAATACTTTCAATGTTTTTAATTTTATTAAGGAAAACACTTTTTATGAATAACATATATAATTTTTATATATAGACGAGTATCAACTAAAAATTACATTGATAACAAAAGTCTTCTTGTATTTAAATTACACACATAATCCATTTCTGTAATTTGTAATTTTCACAAACAGAAAAATGATAAATTAATTCTAAAAACAAAATATATTCTGCGGAAATGTATTACATACATAATAGTTATATAAATGATTGTAATACTGTAAAAATGAAAAGTTCTATATAACAATTATATAATGATTGATTGAAATTTCAATCAATCTACACACTTAAAAGTAGAGCTTATAATCAAATTGATGAAAGATAACACTTTCGCGTTTAAAGCCCTGCAATTTGTATCGTGTTCGCCGTTAATGACGTTTTGTGATAATAGAAGCCATTCTCTTATTTCCATCAAGGGTTCAGACAATTCGTCAATGATAGCATCCTTCGGTACTGCAATAAGTACAGATCCGATATTTTCTGTAACGGCTAGTCTCACAGTTGCTTCATCATGATTTCTCACTGTCCACAGAAGCTCCAATATTTCTTTGCCCATCTTTGATGCCAATGAACAATTTTGCGCCGCTAACATTATAACAGACAACGTTTTCAGGAAACGTAATAATAAAATATTTTCCTGATCTGAATAAATTCTTAAGCCATTAAGTTTAAGAATATCACGACGGCCAAAGCCGTGCAGAAGCGGATAGAAAAATGCAGATGCTACATTTCCAAAGTGATTAATATGTAATTTGGGAGATTTAGAGTTATGTGCAAATCGTTTCGTACGCGATGCAATTCTTTTATCGACAATTTCTTGCCAATTCATAGATTGATCTTTCGACGCTTCTAGATCAATGTCGAAATCTTCGTTGTACCATACTTGTTGCCTTTTATTTTCTTGTGTATCGATAAAAAGTGATATGCGACTTGGAATTCCTTTCTTTTTAATCGCCGTTTCTACAGTAACGTCGGTGTTATCTGCATTTTTGATATCTATTTTTGATAACTGCCTAGCAGATTCGGCCAATATATCCAGAAACAATAAGCGATGACTCAGTGAGTACTTTCCAGTGTCTTCATAGAACTCTTTACAAAGAAACTCGGCGCATTCCTTCGGACGTACAGTTACAATCGCTACGCAACATTTGAAAATCACAAGTTCAAAATTCTCCAAGTAAGACTGTTGCTTCAACGTGACGAGAAGCTGTAAGAGTTCTATCGCGAAAGATACATCGTCATTCGATAGTTGTGTTAATATTAATTCTTCGCAGACCAGCAAGGATTCAGAAAAAACATCAGGATTGGAAAAAGTACGTTCATCCGTTAAATTATCACGCAAGTCCCGTAAGTACATCGGGCGTACCTTACTGAGCGGTTTGTCATCATTCATATCGTAAGGGACTAAGTCATCGTCACTATCCAGATCCGAATTGCCATCGCAATTTGATTTTGCCTGTTGATTCGTTTCATTCTTTTTCGTTAAATTATCTTTTATTACACTGGTTTTCGACAGGCGTGTGTTCTCTTCAATTTTTTCATTTAACAGATTTTCAACGGCGGGTAAAATATCGCAATCAACACCTAATTCATAGATCTTTCTGCTACTCATAGAATCAAAAACAATGTTTCCAATTGTTAAATCATCGCCTTGCTGGTATTGCTCTTTTACATGTACAATCGTTGCAAGCGTATTTAAATCCTTTAGAGATTGAAGTAATTCTAATATTTGCGCAGGCATGGTATCATATTCGAACTTCAATTTCGGTACGTTTTCGGTATTACATAAAGAATTTATGCAAATCTCGGCAACCATCATGCCCATTGCTCTTAAAGTTATGTTTGTACACTCGAGATGAATAGATACTCCGGAAAGCAACAGTTTTTGGCACTGATCTCTTTCAGTACGATTTAAAAGATTTTTACAAGTTTTTACAGATAAAATAATCAACTTCGTAATGTATTTGTGTTGTTCCACAGATACGTGATTCAAAATACTTTTATCCCTCCAAATTTCTAAAAGCTTAATAAGTAATTCTGATAAAATATTATTTTCACTCGAAAAAGATGATAGATAAGAAACCAGGTTTATAAGAAGTTTCTCGTCCTCGTAATAACGCATTAAAGGAATTTTGATTGTTAAAATATATTTCCAATTCGGTTCCATTATTAAATTTCCGAAAATGGAATGCACATCGAGTTTATAATCGCAATGCTTCAAGAATAAAACAGCTATGTATTCAATGGCGGCCGAATCCAATTCGCGAAATATATCTTCGATTAAACGTTGCTCGTTCTTTTTGTTTTCGAGATACCATTCTTTTACAATGTCGACAAAGAACGTAAAATCGCATGGTTTCAAGCTAACTACGATCTTGCTAATTAAAAATGAGAGTACAGATGTTTTCAGTTTAATATCATATTTATATAATTCATTAATAAACGATATCGCGCAACATATGTGAAAACAAAGTATTTTCACATAAACTTGCGGCGTATAAGACTTAGGCGTATTTAATTGTAGTTTATTTGATACACGACTAGGCAAGGAGATCAAAATTTGTATTGTATTTTGCAAAGTTTGATCAAGTTCTTCCTTCTGCACGTGAGATCGCACTTCGTCTCTACATGCATCCAATATCCCCGAAAATATCGCTTCGCTTTTTAATAGATTATTCAATAACATTGAAATAACATGAGTCTTCTTCTCATTCTTGGACTCATTTAAAGCAGTAATTAAAGCTCTTAAAGCTTCCGATAACATGAAGATCGTTGCACCGTCGATGATTATCAATTTTTCGATCGAGGGATCCAAGCCATCTTCACTTAGTGGCCAATCACGATCAAATTTACCGATTATCTCTTCCAAAATTCTTCCATACAATATAGCATCCACTTTCGCATCAAAATCAATATCACTGTATTTTTGAGGAGTAACAGATCCTGGTAAAAATCTGATGTAGTTCGCAATGGATGATCTTATTCTCTTCAAATCAGCGGAACTTTTAATATCGCACATGGTACATAATATTTCCAATAATTGATTGGCGGCATTATTGGAGAGATTCTCGATTGATACGTCGCTTTCTTCGTTTTTACAGGCTGCAAGGAAAGACTATCTTGTGGGAATACATTAGCTTCAAACTCCGAGAATATATATTTCACGCAAAGATTTCTTTCATGCAACGACGATTTAAAATTCTTATATTTAATATCTAATAATTAATATAACTGATAATGTTAGAGCAGCAGTTTAGAAATATTTTAATACGGTTTAATCTTGGGATTATTATCTTGTATATGCATCTTATGATAACAATATTATGTATATTATATATAATTTATAGTTATAATGAAATATTGTTAATATTGTTAAAACTTGGGCTAATTGTATAATTAAAGAAATCAAATTACGCTTCTTAACTGCGTATATACTCACCTGCATAATTGACAGTAGATGTGTTGTTTATTCCCATGAAAATGTTCGAATTATTTGGGCTGTTTATTCGCCCATCAGGTAACCTCATAGTTGGAGCATTCAAACTATCCAAGTCGGATAAGAGATCCGTATTTGACGTCACTAAAAGAAATAATACGAAATTATTTTCAATAATAAATTATATGTAAAAATTCACACAATCACTTGTTAAATCAAACTTCAAAGTTTCTGCGCGATTATTTCTATAATCTGACGCGTACATAATCCTTTACCTGTGTTGTTATTTGTGATTTGATTATTGAGACCTTGTGGTGATAAAGTATCAAATAAATCATTAGACGTCTTTTGAATAGCGGGGGTTCCAGTAAATGCCGTTGTGCCCGCCGTTTGCATCGTATTGGTGTACATTGTATTACTATTATTCATATTATTCACTGTCGGATTATTTATAGTTGGTATTGTTACACCCATTAGATTAATTTGCGATTGCGACTGACTTGGAGTATTAGATATAGTGACATTATTAAAGGCAGACGTGAAATCGGCGAATTCATCGTTACTATCTTTCATCTTAACCGTCGCGGAATTATTAAACGCACTAGTAAAATCGCCAAAATCTGCGTTTGCATTTTGCGGTTGAGCAAATGATTGAGTATTCGCTCGTGGATTGAAATCATCATCGTCTAGTCTATTATTATCATTTTGTGATTCAAAAATGTCGTTTAATATATCATTTTTGGTCTTCTGTTGATTTTTCGGCGATGATAAACTGCTATTTTGTTGTACCGGTGCACTATTCTGCAAACAAAAGGATACGTACAAATTAATTTATAATTATCAAGTATATAGTTACATGTTTAATTATACATCATAGAGATTTAATCATACATCATAGAGACAATAGCAAAATAAAACTTATTTCTTGTAACTTACATTAGATTGCTCTTTTCCATAATTCGCTGCTGCTCCAAGATCTACTTTTTTGATAGTTCTTGTTGTTCGCGCAGGGGATGTATTTGTAGAAGGTATTGATATTTGAGCAGATTTACCAACTTGATTTATATTATCCAACGTATCTCTATATTCTCTTCCACTTTTCTTTGGGCTAGTTTCATTATCCGAGTCTTCTCTTTCGCCATCGTCACTATAACATAAAAACATAAAATTTAGATAAAAAAAAAATTTCCCCCAACTATATGTTTCTTTTTAATTTTCACATACAACAAGAAACACGAATATTAGATGAATACCTGTTATTTGCATCCTCAAATCCTTTTCCGCGATTGTCCCAGTCATTATACGTTTCTACGCCAGATTTGTTCCATTTAGGATTATCCATCCATCTGTCACCACCTCCAAATCTCATTCCCATCGCTTCGCTCGATAAACCAACGTATTTATCTTTATTTTTCTTAGCCTTTTTTCTTTCCTCCCTAAGTTTATCATCGTCTTGGATAAAATCAATTAATTCCCTAACTTTATGTCTAATGTTTATTCCTTGATCTTTCCCGAATTCATCGATGCAGGTATAATTTTCTAAAGACCTGAGGTCATAGATGTGCTCGCGTGACGATGTGACGACCCGTTCCGAGCCATTACGAACTAAGTAATTAAGAAGAAGCAATGACTGTGAAAAAATAAAAATTAATGAAATAAACTAATAAAATATGAAAAGTAAAACGCACTTATATTCATAAGCATTTCGTTCACTATTTCATATAACAATCCTGCCTTCGACATCTTCCATATATAAAATTTATTGTTTTTTTTTTTTTCTTAAATGTGATACAATAATTGCAAGGAAAACGATCGCGTACCTTGTACGTTCGTCGCCAATTTCGTTTATTCTCTTGCAACATCCTTTTCCAGAGCATGGACATCACTTCTGGAAATTGCTCGTACGTGAATGTGGCCTGAGCCAGTTCTTGCATCATTGCCCCTTAAAAAGTAATGCATCCCGTACAATTAATTTACAGGTGTTCCATGTAAAAAGTAACATGAAACTATATTGCCAGAAGCACAGATCATACCTGTGGGACCCCATGCATCGTCATTAGTTGCTTCCCGAACTTTGGCCTCTGTTTCCGTATAATTCATTACGACATTGGTCCTACAAATGCAGTATTTCATTGTAATGTTTTTTCGCACGTACAAATGTGATGTGTGCAAAATCATAAATTATCCGTTATTAAAGAAAGACATGTTATATTATACTCGTCATATCACGAATTACTCAGTAATAATTCCCGCAAAGAAACCGATAAAGCCATGTAATATCTATCGCGCGTACATGTTGCATACACATGGAAGATGTATCATATATATCTTCGATCGCAGTTAGCTTTTACAGGTAGATCACGCAAATACGAAAAGATTACAATGATGATCTTTCTATTATTAACGTTACACTCTTTATGAAGAATAATTAAGTATAGATACAATAACGATCTCCCCTCCCTCTCCTTTTGTCTATCTAGTTTGGTCTGCAAACACAGCATAGCGTATGTACAAAGCGCATTCATGCGAGAACAAAAGTGCACAGAGCCGTGAATTACGTAAATAATTACAGTTTAAAGCCATTATGTAGCTTTGCAAGTACCTCATGCGGCTTACTATGTTGGTTCGTAATTAGAGATTAATTTTTATCAAGTTTATTAGTTCGCAAATTAATGTAATCAACTACTCGCGAACTTAATTAATTTATTAATTCAATGCAATGCTGTACCTATATTGACTGCATATCATTTTAGATGAGTATAATTAAGTACGAGATTATAAAATATGTCTATATTACAAGTTAATCTAAACATTTTTCGCAAAATTCTATATTCAATCGTATTTATCAATTTAAAAATAAATTAATAAAATTAATTATTAATTAATTTATTATAAATATAATATCAATATAATTATGATTATTAATTTATTACAAAATTGACATAAATTCCTAATTGGCTCTAAAATTCCATAACTTTTCCTTGATTTCCAGATAAAATTTCATGATTTTTCCTGATCTTCGACAATACTTTGAAATTTTATATTTTCGTCTTGACTTGAAAACTGTTAAATATTTTGTTGAGACATCAATTTAACATAGAAATGTAAATTACTATTAATGTTGCTGACGCTGTTTGCATTTATAATTAAGTTAATAGTATTCCAAAACTACATAAGTGTGATGTACGTATATTAAATTTTTTTAGAATTATTTTCTAAAAAATTTTTAAAAATTCCTTGACTTTCCTAATGATTTTTCTAATCATTTTCGATAGCTCTGATAATTCCCTGATTTTCAGTTTTATGGCAATCTGTTAATCTTTTGACATTCCAAAAAAAATATTTTATTTCCAAAATTTATCCGGAGGATGTAATTGTTAAATAAAAAAATTAACAATTATTATATTTCAAAAATATTAATAATTACTCATTGTCAGTGCATTACATCCAGTATAAAACTTTAGACTCACATTCTCTTTATTACTTTCACTTATATAATCGCTTTCAACAAACAAACTCACAAAATAAAAATATAACTAGAAATTCAGCTTTGTTTTGTATTAAAAGAATATAGAAATAAAAAAAACTTCGTAAGGATAAATTTATGTTTTTACAGAGAAATTGTATTATTTTTAGTAAATAAATTGTCAGAGTAGTCGTTTAATTTTGATAACTAAATAAAATTTTAACTTTCAACAAATAACTATACAAAATACA